GGAAATCTCCGCTCTGCTTCCCACAATTCAGTTCAGCGAAAAGCGAGGCGACGTGACGTCACCCCATTCAAAGTGAATGGGCAGACGCGTTGGAAACCGTTTTTGAAGCTGTCGAAGCTGTAGTGTGGACGGGCCTTTAGAGTTGTACTCGCTACAGGGTGTACTTTGAGGGTTTTGACTCTGCACACCGTTTACATGCAGAAAAACCTTAATAACACACAAGGGGACGGGTAATAACCGGAAAAGCATGAAATGTCACCTTTATTAACCACCGTAACTGAAAGGCTGCCTGCCAAAAGTATACATTCAGCCACGTGATTTGCAAACTCTCGCGAGAGTTTTACACAAGACGGATCCTTTCTAGCCATAACCTTGCGGTCTCAACATCTTAACACAAGCTGTTCACGTTTAGCTTTGACATTAAACACTTCAGTGAATACCCTGTGAATGTCTGAAGCTTTTCCATGTCTTAAAAACCGTGGTTGCTAAAAGGTGGCTAAATGAGACTGAGAATAAACGTCATCACGCTGAAATGTAGCCGCCTTTAGCTTAGCGGTGTTGATGTGCAGTCATGTGACCGTAGTTTGTCTTGAGCATTACATCAGCTATTTACTTCTTGAATTCAACTATTATAAAAGTGATGTTAATATGTGGAGATTATCCCGCTTAACAAAACATTTAAATTTGTTTTCCAAAGATATTATTTTCTGCAATATTCCAAAATCCAAAGGAAAACCCCAATTTTTTTGTTGAGGGAGCCCTTAGGCGCTTTCACACCGCAGTACTTTTCCCACAAAGGTTCATGAGAACTTAGTTCTCATGAACTAAGTACAGATCGCGTTCACAACGGAATCTCTAGATGAAGCCGCTGACGTCACTTCTTCTTCTTTGGGTTTACTGGCAGGCCGCAAACAACTTCACGGCGTATACTGCCACCCCAAGTCCCCGGCCGGAAGTCCCCGGAGTAATGGGGACTGGCTACATACACAATATGTCATCACTGCACCACTCTATGTAGATTTACTTACTAAAATCTGAAGGGTCAACAGCGGACAGTGAATACATCACTGATGAAACCACATGTGTTAAAACCTTCATTGACACCTTTGGAAATGTGACCTTTATAAAGATAACTCGGTTTGGGGTCTGTTATCATTCCGGTTCAAACGTTTTGGAGAGCAAAACATTTTATTACTAACACTGGAATAGTTCAATTTGTATATTATTATACAGAAACTAACTGCTTTACAAAAACAAAATGATACAATATCACATGTATGTACAGTGTAGTAAATATACCATCTCAAATTGTATTTACAATTATCACACATACTGCAATAAAACAAAACTCAGACTATTACTCTACAGACATTAGATTTTGCATAACATCAAATAAAACATGCCACATTTTGAGGTTTTTCATCTTTACAAACCCATGACTGTTTTTAAATTAGTGCAAGTCAACCACTTGTTTAAGAGGTTATGGATACATAATCCTTAATATTTCCATTCACACACAAGTCAAACTAGAACCCGGAAACGATGGAATCTGCGAACACGGCGCTCAAATAAACCAGACAACAGATTTTTCCTGGTTGTCTTGTTAAAGGTACAGCCACTGATCTGTAATTCAAGGTTTGTTTCAGAGGGAAATCAGTGAGTGTAGCTTTAAGAACAGTTAGACGGTGAGAAGAGACGATGGATTGAGTTTAACGATGAGACAGTTCTATGGAATCTGACACTGAAATCTGAACAAAAATGAACCATCACAATTCCTGCGAGTTGGGCTTTAGATCCTAATCCTGAATCTAGATCCTAATCCTGAATTTTTAGATCCTAACCATGAATGTGAATTGCTAATCCCAAATTGTTTTCCTAATTGTAAATTTTGTTTCTAATCCTGAAGTTTAGATACTAATCCTGACCCAAACTGGGCCTTTACTGTCTCTTTGTGTGAGTTCATTACTCTGCTCTAAACATCTTGCGTCAGAAAACATTAACGACATAAAGGTGATAAAACTTCATGCTTGATTCCTGACTAGGGTTAGGCCTATTTACATGAGGAGGAGGGCTAATGTTGAATTAAATAAAACTTTGGCCAGTCAGCATAGTCCAGCTCTTTCGCAATCAAAGTTAAAAACATAGTTTGGAAAACCTTTTATACACATAAAATGTTGATGTGTCATTTTTTGGGGCCTTTTTAAGCGTCAGTATGCTTTAAACCAGGTGCTAGTTGATGATTGGTTGTTTAAAGACGTTGGACCAATTTATCTGATAAACTGGAACCTGGATTAATGAATTATGGGTTGTTAGTTGTAGTCTTCCCTTTATGTCATTCTTTGAGATTGAATGACTGTGCTAAGGCTGTCTCTAATCAAAATGTCGCTTTCCGTGGAATTTATCTAATGATTATGTGTTTACTGAATGGACAGGAGAAAATAACGTCCCGACGACTACAATACAAGAAAAACAAATCAGTAGTGAACTGATCGACGAGTGTTTCCATTAAGTACCATGAACACTGAGAATGGTGAGAAACAATGTGCGACTGAATAAAGTCAGACTTTTTCAACAATACTCAACTGTTGCCATGCATAGATGTTAGGGCGGGACAGAGGAGCCCTGCTGAGCTGTGGGTGGAGGCTGTGGGTGGAGCACTGATCTACAGTCCCTTTCTAAATTGCTCACCCTAACCCTAAAAACCACGTGACTTTTTCCATGTTGTGCCACTGGTTCCCATTACCAAACACCATGACTGCTGTTGGCTAAGGGCATTATTGTGGCATGGTAACGAGGTTGAACCCTTAGGGATTAACATATGTAGTGTGGACCACCATTTTAATCAGCTGAAAGACAGACATAGCATTAAAGATGGCCGATGTAGGCGCTGGGTTCACAAGCCTATGTTTTGTCAGTTTGCACTGTGTTACCATTAGCGCTTAAAAACTAAAAGGATGGAATTTTCCAAGGTGGATTAGCTACGTCTAGCGAGTTTAAACTCTCTGAAAGTAGTTTTGAGAATCATCATGGAAATCTATACATTATCTAAAACACTACACCGTGCTGATTTGACAGTTTATGTGTGGAAACGATATCTTTCTTGGGACAGCATTCTTCAAATGCACCCAGAAATGTGCAGAACAGGCCTGTGGGACAGAAATTCGGAGGCATTGGCAACCTGCGTTATTATTACTGAAACTCTTTAAAGGAAAAACCTCAATTGAGGACTTCATCAACGGATCCCTGCCTCCTGTAGGGTGGAGCAGGGTGGAGGAGCTCTGAGTCAGCGTTTCTGTCATCGTTTACATCTTTCCCATTATTCCAGTACAATGTAACAATTATAGAAATCTTCCTCTTCTTTCAGAGTGTGCAGCTTTTAGCTCTAGCAGGAAGTGAAAAATGACTTACCACCAAATGTTTTTACATTATTTGATCGTATATTTTCAGGTCAGTTTATGTAAGCCTGACATATATTTAAGAGTCATGAGTTTATTCATTTTTAGTGTTACCGGAAAGAACAGTTTGTAAAAACAAGGGTGACTTATTAGCTTTTTCCTCACACTCTCCATGCTGTTTTGACAGGAACAGGAAGGGGTTGAATTGGCTTAAGTTGTTAAATAATAATACATCATAGAACACAATGTGATTTAAAAAAAAAAAAAGTTTGACAATTCTGATAATACGTAGTCCTGACAAACTATGTTAAAGCCTCGTAGGCTACATGCTTCCTTCGAAGAGCCCACAGGAGTGTGTGTGTGTGTGTGTGTGTGTGTGTGTGTGTGTGTAATGAGAGCAAACGTCACTGTGTCCACTGCCTCTTTTCTATTCAAATAGTCATAGGAGGTAGCCAACAGTAGCTCACTTTCCGTGTTACCGGGCAGATTAGGAGTTCATATTGCACCGCGCTGACACTGATGTACAAATGAAACCAAGTGTGTGGTTGACAAAGGAGATTCAGAGTTGAGGATTATTGCCTATTACACAATTTTCCTTGTCACTGTGTAAACAAATTAAAACGCAATGCTGCTGAAAACACAGTTCGTACTAAAATAACTGACATTAAACAGCTACATAAAAAGAGACGCGCACGAAAACAAACAAAAAAAGCTCGGAGCTATTTACACACGTACATTTCCCCCTAGTGTTTTGCGATCTTCTCGTTCATAAGTGTTTGAAAAGAAGATTTTTGGAAAGTGTAGCGCTATCTAGCTGTACAGGATAAATACTTTCAGGCAACAGGGTATATGGATGATTGTATATTAGACGATCGTTTGGAGGCCCGTCGTGATGCGGCTCGCGTGGTGATATGGACGGCTCGCCTCCATAATTAGTACCTGTTCTTTGTCTTTCACTTTTACTTTACAAATTGTACACATTGAAAAACCCTGACAAAGGCACACCATGGAGAAAAACATCAACATCTAAATCAGCACTAAGGACTAGTTATACATAATCTGTCTATGTAAAATATGTACAGGACTGGGAGAGGTGGGCCCAGGTGTCCGAGCAGGCCCCCCCCCCCCTCCACTGTTGCTGTCATTTGGTCCCTCTCACTGACACAGGAGTGTTTAGTCAAAAGGAAGGCCAAAGAACGGATCCAACTTTAGCATAAAGACAGAGTTTCACTTCCTGTTTCCTCCCTGTCCAAACTGAACCTGCTTTCCCATCAGGCTTAGGGGCATTTTTCCCCCAATAGTTTCACAAGAGTGAACTCGACCCGACTCTACCCTGCTGCTGAATATCTGTGAAGACAACATCCACTGCAGAGAACCGGAACTACTCCAACTAAAAGATTCTCCTCCACCGTGCGCTGTCACAAATGAAATACATCTCAAGCAGCACTAAATGTGTTAATATTCCTCCTCGATGCCCGACTGAAAAGTTTTCACGCCAGGGGAAACAACCGTTAAGAAGGAGGAGGAAATAAACAGAGTAAGAGATGGAGTGCAGCGTGAGCCCCCAGCGGGCAGGAGGAGGAGGAGGAGGGTTCTCCGATCACACGATCTTCTTGATGCTCGGCCTCTTGAAACTGCCCGCGCTGCGCTGCTTCTGCACCTGACTGGCCGATCCGTGGCGAGTGCGCCCCCCGCTGGAGAGGGCGGAGCTGGGGGACAGCTGGACGTTCTCCTTATCCACACCTGGAGGGGCACAGGGGGGTGGGGGTAAGGACCGAACCAAACAGTGTGGATCATGTGTTTTTGTAAATGCCGTTTCTGTATATTAATATAGAAACTGAACTATGTAATAATGCATGACAACAGGAAGCCCAAACTGTGATTTATTATGATTTTTCTTAATACATTTATATTTTTGAGGATAATCTCAACATACTAACCAGAGGTCGCGTTAACCGAATATTTTCTGTCTACGACGGATTTTTTTTTAACAATGTCGGAAAAATCTGAAAGCAGTTTTTGACAGATTAGAACAAACTCGGAACAGCGCCAAAGCTTCCCCGCAGTGAGGCTCCTGTGTTAAGCATGCCCGCCAAAAAGGAAAGGATATAGTTTCCAAACCTAACTTTGCCGTACAAATCATTGAAATGTCTGGGAGTTTTGGCTTTACGCTGTGAGCGCTCCAGTGGGCTTGTGTGTGTCTGTGTGTCTCTCTCTCTCTCATTCACTCTCACTCAGAGAGATATATATAGAACAAATATATAGTTCTAGCCCTGAAGATTTAGATGTGACCTTGATAAGACTATCGGAAAGGTCAAAGGGTTAACGGACGGAGAACGTGAGAGCCTGAGTGTGTGTGCATGTGTGTTACCTGGGGAGTGCTGCGAGGTGGCCAGGGAGGTCATGGAGTTGGACAGGTTGAGATTGGCAGTGATGCTGAGCTGGCTCTGGCTGGTGGGGGGGTAGGGGGAGGTAGGCGTCCTCAGCTGCTCCTCCCCCCGCTCCTCGTCCGCCGCCGGCAGGTAGCTGTCAATCAACGCCTCCAGGAACTTGACGATCAGCTCGGCGTAGTCCGGTATCTGTGTTTGCTGCAGGAGGGGCATGTTTTAAATATACCTAGTAAAGGTGCACCATTTCAAAAAATACCTTAGTCTGATTATTATGAATGATATTGCAATTGTAATATGCTTAGAGAAATATACAATTTTTGAAACATAATTTAAAATGATAATTGAATCACATAATAAAATGATCGTATTGTGATTTTCTTAGGAGGATCTGTACAAAACAAAGATTTTTGATGAAGACTGTAGAATATAGGGATTTCTCGGCAGCTCTACAACACTTCATTCAGATATTTAAACACATTTTACCTTAAGCAAATATTGCACTTAGTGCGATTTGGATATTGTAATAGTTAATTTGGAAATATTTACATGAATTTTGGAGCCCTAATATATGTACACTGTATTTTAATCCTGTTAATTTACATTGTATATGTATTTCACATTTCTGAGGTACTACTGGTTTCAGTATTAACAGAAAACTCAGCAGTGTGTGTGTGTGTGTGTGTGTGTGTGTGTGTGTGTGTGTGTGTGTGTGTGTGTGTGTGTGTGTGTGTGTGTGTGTCTGTCTGTGCGGTGTATATCACCCTAACAATTGGCAGGGTGGTTGCGCCACAGTTAGAGATGTCCCGATCCGATCACGTGATCGGGGATCGGAGCCGATCACGTGATTTTCAAAAGATCGGAATCGGGAGGGAAAAAATTGGGGATCGGGATTTTTTTTAAAAATTTGTTATTAAATACTTTTTTTTAAATTTTGTATTCAATGTTACAAAACAAAAATGACCATGTTCAAGTCTTAAAGTCATCCTGAGGCCTTAGTTTTGGTTTCAAATTACACAACATCATGTATGTGTTGCTTCTTTGGGGCTTGTTTTCATAGACCTGGTTGCTTAGTTCTCTCAAATCTGGCAACAGAGTGGGCAGGGCGCAGTGTCTAATTGTAGCAGCAAGCTAACGAGTACTGAAAGCTTTATTTTGATCCAATGCTGCACTACTGAACTGATCCAATGCTGCTGTGAAAGAAATAAGCTATATCCATGTTGGATAGAATATCCAATTTAAATAAAAAAATAACCTTAAGGGACAACTTGAATGCCTTTTTTTTCTCTTAATGCATTACCTAAAGATCGGATCGGGAAAAATCGGTATCGGCAAATTGTCAAAATCAAATGATCTGAATCGGATCGGGAGCAAAAAAAGGTGATCGGGACATCCCTAGCCACAGTAATTGCTTAGTAAGCTGAATTTCTCCTGCGTGGCAGCCAAGGGCGCCTCAGGGAAAATAATAAATAAATAACAGAAGCAAAATAATCGTTCACACCTTAGAGAAGGGTCCGGCAAACCTCCAGAGTCCATTAAAGCCGAAGCCTGTGAAATTGAAAGGGGGGCGGGGAGAAGGGGGAGGAGGCGGAGGCAGGGTGAGCACCACTTACTTAAAAAGACACCACTGAATGCCACCTACATTAACTGTCACAAGTCTTAGGTCACTTCCTGTTTGGGGAAAAACGACTCATTTCAATACACTGTCCCTCTTTCGAATAAAGGCACAATAACGAAGTAAATGAATGGCCTGTGCAGAATGTGAAAATGTCAGGCATTTATACTCTGCAGGTAGGAGGGCTGGTACTGGGGGGGGACTCCTCGTGGGTAGCCACGCTCTGGACGATGCCGTGGACCGGGTTCAGGAGATTGGTGTCCTGGCACATGGACAGCACCGTGTTGATCTTAGAGTCAGTGCAGGTTGTTGGCTGAGGAGGAGACGTGCACACAGAACGTTAATGTGCATCTCTATGAACGCTGCTCTATAATAATATATATTATATAGGAAATATATATATATTATATGCCTGGCACGGGTTAGCTGCTTGGAAATTGGACCTATACATATTCTAACCAGCACAAGTATGTTTAGATTTTGACAGTGTGGTTTACTAGTAGTTACAGTGGGGCAAAAAGTAATTTATTCAGCCACCAATTATGCAAGTTCTCCCACTCAAAAGATGAGAGAGAGGCCTGTAATTTTCATCCTAGGTATCCTGTACCATCAATATGAGAGACAAATGAGAAGAAAAAAAAAATCCAGAAAATCACTTGTCTGATTTTTTAAGAATTTATTTGCCAATTAGTGGTGGAAAATAAGTCATTTGGGTCACCTACAAACAACAAGATTTCCCTGGCGTTCTCACAGAACGTAACTTCTTCTTTAAGAGCCTCCTCTGTCCTCCACTTGTTAACTGTATTAATGGCACCTGTTTGAACTTCGTTATCAGATAAAGAACCTGTCCACAACCTCAAACAGTCCACTCCAAACTCCACTAGGGCCAAGACGCAAAGAGGTCTGTCAAAGGACACCAGAAACAAATTTGTAGACCCTGCACCAGGCTGGGAAGACTGAATCTGGGCAATAGGTAAAGCAGCTTGTGTGAAGAAATCAACTGTTGGAGCATTATTAGAAAATGGAAGAATAGCAAGACACTGATATTCCTTCACTTGATCTGGGGCTCCACGCAAGATCTCACCCCGTGGGGCGAAAATGATTCACCAAGAGCGGTGAGCAAAAATCCCAAAGAACCCACGGGGGGACCTACCTAGTAATGACCTGCGAAAGCTGGGACCAAAGTAAAATACCATCAGTAACACACTACGCCGCCAGGGACTCAAATCCTGCAGTGCCAGAAGGTCCACCCTCTTAAGCAGTACATGTCCAGGCCCGTCTGAAGTTTGCGTAAGAGAGCATTTCCGATTGTCCAGAAAGGATTGGGGAATGTCAATAGTGGTCAGATGAAACCAAAAATAGAACTTTTTGGTAAAACTCGACTAGATGTGTTTGGAAGGAGAAAGAATGCTGAGTGTGCATCCAAAGAACACCGATACCTACCCTGTGAAGAACATGGGGGGTGAAACATCATGCTTTGCGGCTTTTTTCTGCAAAGGGACCAGGAACGACTGATCCGTGTAAAGGAAAGAATGAATGGGGCCATGTATCGGAGATTTTGAGTGAAACCTCCTTCCTCGCAAGGGCATTGAAGATGAAACGTGGCTGGGTCTTTCAGCATGACAATGATCCCAAACCACCGCCCGGGCAACGAAAAGGAGTGGCTTCCGTAAGAAGCATGTTCAAGGTCCTGGAGTGGCCTAGCCAGTCTCCAGATCTCACCCCATAGAAAATCTTTGGAGGGAGTTGAAAGTCTGTGTTGCCCCAGCGACAGCCCCAAACACATCACTGCTCTAGGGAGATCTGATGGAGGATGGGCCAAAAACTAGCCAGCAACAGTGTGTGAAAACCTTGTGAAGACTTACAGAAAACGTGTGACTTCTGTCAATTGCCAACAAAGGGGGTACTATAACAAAGTATTGAGATGAACTTTTTGTTATTGCCAAATACTTATTTTTCACCATATTTGCAAATAAAATCTTTAAACATCGACCAAGTGTGATTTGGTGGATCTTTTTCTTTTCTTATTTTTGTCTCTCATAGTTGAGGTATACTAGGATGAAAATTAAACAGGCTCCTCTCATCTTTTTAAGTGGGAGAACCTTGCACAATTGGGTGGCTGACTAAATACTTTTTGCCCACTGTATGTCTCATGTATATTTTCTTACATTGGAGAGTCAATGTTTCTATCAGTCAAACATGAGGCAGCAGCCTTATGGTATTTACTCCTACTCACAACCCCTTTTGGTACACACTTTCTTGAGTCTCTGATTTGTTGTTTGATCCGTTCACGGACCGGAACCAACACAGCTCTCGAATCCCTAAAAAATAAGGTAGTTTGCGGGCGGATCAAACTCAATTAATGGTCCAGTTCCATTTTAGTGTTAAAACATTTGGGTTGGAAAGTAATGGAAATATGGCCTAGTACAGAACTTCACAACAGCCAGCAGCTTCTCAAGGTGGCGAGCCAAAG